AGCTTGTGACGTCATTAATTCTCCATGACTTGACAAATTGTGAAATCCAGTGAAAGCCACTCGTGAGTCAGTTCCCTCTGCGTCAGAACCACAGCTTTACAGACGTACGTTATGCGGTAATGGCACAGGCAGATAACGAACCGCACAGACCCCATCGACATTGACTCATCGCCCGTCGAGCCCAACTGTGGTCGGCGTCTAAACCCACATACTTTACGCACAGGGGAAAAGAAATAGTGGCAGAGTCCACTGCAGCGACCCCACTTGAGTGGGACTAATAATGCGAAATGCACAATTCAGAAGAAGAAGAAGAAGAAGAAGAAGAAGAAGAAGAAAAAAAGAAGAAGAAGAAGATGAAGAAGAAGAAGTAGGAAGAAGAAAAGTAGTGGAAATGTTACGGACGTAATCTACGCGCGTGCGATGTGAGCATAGAAATATATAGACACACCGTATATAGAGGTATACAGACATAGATAGAGACATCGACTAACTTTACCCATAATTTGTATGGGTGTGAGTCACTGGTATGAGACAGGATGGGCGTGGTTATGTAATATAGATATCCGGTAGAGCTAGCGATCGGCCCCTTGCCGCCACCTTAAAAATAATTATTGATCCTGCAATCTCGCCGATTCTCATATTAATAATTTATACATCATTAATAATTGAAGAGAAAAACATGCAGTCAGTAAAATTAAAATTTACTCGACGCCTAGCCGCACAATTAATATGTAATAGCATATGTTTTTTAGGACGACGATTTTTAGCACACATGCACGCACACACGCAATCATGCACACACACGCACACGCATACACACACCCGCATGCACATGCACACACGCACGCGCGCGCACGCACACACACACACATACACGCACGCACACACGCAAGCACGCACGCGTGCACACACACACGCACACACGCACGCATGCACACACACACACGCGCGCGCACACACACACGCACGCATGCACACATACCCACACACGCACGCATGCACACATACACACACACGCACGCGCACGCACACATACACACACGCACACCCACACACATACACACACACGCACGCATGTACGCACACACGCACGCATGCACACTTACACACACACCCACACACACACATACACACACTCGCATACACACACACACACACACACACACACACACACACACACACACACACACA